AGTTGACAGTTGGGAAAGTTGTGCGCTCTATGGAGGTAGAAAAGATCATTTACCTTCCATCTCATCTTTCCTATCATGCAATTTATAAGATGTATCTTATGTCTATTGGTTTGCATGAGGTAGAGGCACAAGTCTCTTTTACAAAGTTTTATTGGATATAGAAAAGCTCTGAGACATTGTGCTTTATGAAAATTTGGAAAGCCTCCAAAAATGTCTGTGATGAGTGTACCATATTGCGAAACCTATCTAAAGGTCAGGAGAACTTAGTAGTAGGTATTGGTGAAAAGGTTGATAGTAACAAGCTATTGAATATGGAAATTTCACAGCAGGATGAGAAGGTAAGGTAACTACAAGTACATCAACAAGAGTACAGAGCATGTCGTTTAGCTTATGAAAATGATATTCAACAAGCAAAAGATTTGGGATCTGAGGTAAGTGCTTTTTCCTTTGATTTTCAACAAGTGGTTGAAATACCCAGAGTACCACAATAGCCATCTCAATGGTACTATTGGTCTCCATTCAAGTTATATGTATTTGGTATAGTTGATGATGCAATTAATAAGCATTATCATGCTATATTTACAGAAGCACAGCAGGGAAAGGGGGCAAACCAAGTTGTGTCAATTTTGCATTATTTCTTGACCGCAATCCCAAGACTTAAAGCTCAGATTCACCTCTCGGCAGACAATTGTGGAGGCCAGAATAAGAATAAGACAATGTTGTGGTATCTTTGTTAGCTAGTTGTAGCTCAGGATATAGAGGAAATTGTACTGGGATTCCAGATCAAGGGTCACACAAGAAATAGTGTAGATTGTGGCTTTGAAACAGTGAGGTAAAAGGCAAACAGAAATGAGGTTTGGACTCCTGAAATGTATGCAGTACTGGTTGATACTACTGATAAGGCAGGTAATATAAAAGCTATACGGTTTTTCAATGATCCTTCAGAAACTATGATTCGGAATTGGGAGTCAGCTCTTAAGCCTTATTTGAATGCCATGAAGGGAATTCAAAGCTATCATTTCTTTCGTTTTCTTTCACTGAATCCAGATATTGTTGAAGTAAAGAGACTACCACAGGATGAGTGGATGAAGGTGGATTTACGAAAAAAGGACTTTGCCTTACCCATGTTCATGAAAATTGAACCATGTGGACTTTCAAATACAGGATTGAATCCAGAGAAACGTCACGATCTCTAGAATAAATATTCTCCTTATGTTCTATCTCAGTACCACAATTAATAGTACTACTCAAAGCCAGATGATCAACTAATTTCTACTGTACGTGAAAAGAAGAATCTACGGGCAATTAATGCTAAAGGAGTCCAGTGTAAGCTGGCCCAAGAATCAGATAGAGATGAGAACTCCAATAACAAGTTGGTGGAATCTCTAACCACAGTTCCTGTCAAAAGAGGTCGTAGTAGACCTCCTGGCTCTAAAAATAAGCGAAAGGCAGTGGATTCAAGTTAAAACACTTATTAATTGTGCTTATTCAGCTCTTTTAACTTTTTTTAATATGTATTATCAATTGATAGTCTTGATTGAACCTATTATTTACCTGTATGATAGAAAATATTTACATAGAATTAAACAGACAGCTGAGTCCAATCATATCCTTGATTTTGATGCTGTTTAGTCTATTGCTGGTTGGACTATTTCAATTTTATTGTGAAAAAAACATTTTTCTCCTTTTCTCAAAAGGTTGTTGGTTGCTATGCAAACTTAAACTGGTCCTAACTCAAAACAGCTAAAAAGCGAAGTTACTCCTTTTCCCTGAACAACACCCATGTGATGGTCGGATGGAGCGCAGCAGGTGATGACAAAGGTTATTTTACAGCCCTAGCACATGAGAAATCACTCGGAATTAAAATTTCGCGTCCCTGTTGTGCCCCAACCAAGTCCCCTACAAATACCCAGACAGCCGGTATTATATCACCAACTACATGGCATATGATATGGTACCACCCAATTATTCAAGTTCTTACAGTATATTCCAGTTACCGCGTCTTACGACGCCGAGAGCCGCACAACTCCCGATCGCAGTCCGTCGTGCGCAGCGCCGGGAATTCTGGTCGGGAAAAATGTCGAGATCTGGAACGCGTCCTGGTTTGACTGGAGGTGGATCGGTAGGGTTCTATCTAAGCCGAGACCTATCCTACCGGTTCCTTGCCAACCCTGGGTAGATCGTTGGTATGTATGATATGATAATAGCCTACGGTACTGGTGCCTTATCGGGCAACGCACAGCCCAAGACCCTACGCGGATATCAGGGGAAACCCCGGTCGGGATATGAACAACGGGGGGGGGGGGAACAGGCGGCGGTGGTCAAATACTCCCGACAAGATTCACTATTCTACGATAGTATTCTCTACGCCGGGGGGGCTAAATGGGTAATACCAACAATGGGGGAAAATGAAACTCCCTCTCTCTCTTCCGCTCTTTGATACCGGTATGATAATTCAATGAATACTAGTTTCTTATCCAAGATACTATACAAACCTCCCGTCCCCCCCCCCCCGAAAACAACGGGTAGATAGATAGATACTCCCTTGGTGCAAAAGTTAATGTACAGTACTCTTTACAACTTAATACCGGGTAGATGCTGAAAACGAGAGGGGACAACCGTCCCGTTTTCCGGAACCCAGGGAGTTTATCCAAAGGTGGCTTGGCTGATACTGACCCAGTATATAGATGTAGGGATGAATTATCCGGCGCTGAGCTATTCACCAAACCTGCCACGGGGGAAAGAAAAAAAAAACCCCCCTGCCTCAGCGCAAACCTCCACGGGACCAAGCGCAGTCCGGAATCTTCCCGGTTGAGAATCTACCCAAATTACCGTATGGGATTCTTTTCATCACACAGTAAGATACCCCAAACTCGACCCGATCACCGGCCGAGCCGGATAGTGGGGGTGCCTACACGGTAAGGAAGAACAAAGAATCCGACGAAGCGGGAATAGAAGCACGTCGCCGGGCTTAAAGCGTGAGGGGACGGGAAAGGGATAAGCATCTTGAGGAGGACTATCAGAAGCACGAATTCTCACTCTGTAAGTTGGATCCACCAACAACTATTCAAATCACCTACCGATTTCCACTCTCTCCTGGAAACCCCTGGTTTTGGGTGGTCGCGAGTTATTGTATGACGCTCTGCGGTTCCGACGCCACTCGTGTGTGGGGATATCGTGCATTTACCATCCACGCGAGCGCACCCACGGGCCCGAGCACAGGTCGTGATATGTATATACATGGCACCCGGGTGTGGCGACAAGAAGTCATCGTTTAGAGCCACTTTTGGGCCGGGAATGCTTTTTCTCGCTGCACTGGAAGTTGGCCATCTACAAAATATGTACAACTACTAGTTTTCCGTGTATAGTACTGTACGTACCACACACAGTGCTGCAACTCGTGACTCCCGAAGCGCACCCTGATAGACAATGTATCTCGGTTCCCATTCGTCAGCCCCGTACCGAAAGGACGCATGATCGGGGTGAATCCTAACTTACATTCCAAGTGCAGCGTAATACCGGTATGTTGTTGTTTTTCTCTGCGCTAACGGACCAACTCACTGTTGACCAATACCTCACTCTGTCTTTACACAGACCTGGTACAAACAAAATTACCGTAGGCAATCATTTAAAATAGTCTCACACTCCACCGGTCCGTACAAACTCTCCTGTGTGCTCTTTTGTGAGTGGGTATGATACGTAATTGAATTGTTCCACACCAGTAGTATAAGATCCCTCACTCAAGCTCCAAAGGACCCAACGAAAAAAGGACAAAAAAAAAAAAAAAACCGAGCCGATAGAAGGAAGGAAGGAAATTTTTGTACAACCCGTCAAGTACTGTAACTCTTCCTGCATATACGAGTACCATTCTGAGTAACTCCCCTGCTCCGATTACTTAACCCTCCTAACGCTGCATCTCCATGCATTTCGTGCTGGAGGACTGATTACGTGGGTACCCAAGTAATATATACCAGTGGTAAGTTTGGGGAATGATCACGTTCTCGAGTATGATTTACTCACTTCACTCACTTTGGAATAATCGTATGGGGAACAGAACTCGAGTATCGGTGTTGTGTCAAGGGTGCGCTTGTTCACATCCCACCAGCTCTCTCTCATCGCGCAGTGCTATTAATACCCCGCCGTATCATATCACACCCCCCCCCGGCTTCCTTCCAGTTTATTATATGTAAGCTTAAGGTGACCTAGGCGATTTTGCTTTGGAACTCCTAGACCCCCAGTATGATATACCTTCTTTGACCTGGCGGTGGACTATTTTCAGAAGCACCGTGTGGTGGGGTGGATAGATGGCAAGTACTTGTTTCAAAATGGCCATGGATGAGATACTCTAATTTCGAGAGACCCTCTTAAGCTCCCAAGCATACATACGGTCGTGAACCGTCAGACACGAAAAAAAAACCCGAGATTTTCAAAAAAAAAAAAAAAACCGAGCACCTTTTTCTCACGAGTTCGTGCAGATTCCCAGCGCTCAAGCTCTCTAATTTTCCGAAACATTACGGTAATTAATGCGCAGGGCAAACTGCTTTTGTTACATTATAGAAAAAAGAAAGAAAAAAAACTATGAATTTTTTTCACATCTGCTACCGTAGGTCTTCAGTTATCCATGTATCCCATGTATCCATCATATCTTTTCTCGTTTTAACCGGTTGGAGGGGGGGGGTGAGCAGTGCGGATTTGTGATTTCCCTGATCCCCCTTCTCCCCAGCGACGACTTTTTTGTCCAGGGGGACTATATGATATGCAGGTCGACGATAGCCCCCCCCCGCAAAACAAAAAGAAAAAAAAGAAAAAATCACTCATATACCCCACACCCGACCCCCCTCCCACTTAGCAAACAGAGCTTAGAGCGGGGACTTGATTACCCGCTTCACACCCTCTCACTCGTATCTGAGTCAGTCAGTCGGTTAGTCAAATCCGCAGGCTGAATAAATAGATGCGCTTTCCGCCTGCTATGTATTGGCGACGCCCTCTTTCTCTCGACAAGAAGTGCTCGGGCCCGGTTTGACCTTTTGTGGCCTTGGTTGCGCGCGGCTTTTTCGAGGTTGGGAGGATGCTGCGCGACAGAGGTCTATAGGACCGTGGTGGTGGGAGGAGAGCACGGAGGGGGATGGAATGGTGCGGTGGATGAAATTTGCGGGATGGTGGTTGCGAGGGAGCGTGCACGAATATATATCTGAAGATTGCTCGGCGATTCTTCGCCCATATTCTTGTTTATTGAAACTAACTGACGCTTCGCCATCTCGGAAGGTATACAAGACTAATGAATCTAGGGCAGGAATAAAATATACCCACCGGCTGGTGTCCAAGCTGTGCACGGTACGGTAAAAAACATTTTCAAACTACCTTTGCCCACCCACCTCGGATCCGAAAATCTCCTCGAGCACACCACCGAGTACCAAAACGCCTTCGAATCCAGCGAGTAACCAGAACGGCCATCCGCTTCCAATACCATCAAATCCCCACCCGCCCAGTTTTGTGAGCGCGAGGATCCCAACCCCTCCAGAAAGACTGTACACGCCTGCTATACCGCCCTTGGCGTATAGTCTATCACGAACCCTAGGGGTCCCAACTCCAGGGAGTAGTGGCTGCTGCTCCTCTTCCTCCTCCCCCTCTGCGTGGTAAGCGGAGACGGCACGGGCGAGCAACCCAAGAGAACATACGATCCCACCAATCTGTGCCGCACCCATTAATACAGCGTATACCCAGACCATGGGATTCTCCCGTGGCTCTGGGGATATTAACGTTCCGAAGCCGGTGAAGCCGACGACGCCTAGGAACGCCGACACCACCAATGGAGTATTCCGCCGACCCCTTGCCGCCGCATGATCGGCCCAAAAACCGAACGCGGGAGCGAGCAAGAGTGCGGTTAGCTGTGTTGTGCCCGTGAGCTTTGCGGCGAGTATGTAAGCTTGCCTGCAGGTTTGCGGGGCTGGCGAGGGGGGCGTTGAAGGGGGGCAGAGGCCTTGATGGATAAAGTATGCGTTTACGAAGAGGGGGATGAAGAGTGATATTCCGACTGATGTTGCACGGGCGACGAATCCGGCTAGGTAAGAAAGCGAGAGACGGGTGTCTGTAAGACCGGCTTTGAATGCAGTTTTCAGTGACCTCAAGCCGCCGCCGCTGTGGAGGGCGGAACGAGGAGATCGAGCGGAATCAGGTGTTGGAGGTGCAGACGGGGAAGAGGGTGGTGGGGATAGCAACGAAGGCAACGCTTCTGGAGATCCGCCCCAGATTTTAATCCAAATCCACACTCTCGCGCTGTATATATACCTCCTAAAGCTCATATGACCAGCTCCCTTTCCGCGTCCTGGCAAGCCGAAAAGGCACCAGATCCCAACCCCCGTGGCGACCGCAGCGACCGTGTAAAACGTCCGTCGAACCGCCTCCTCAGGACCGTATTGGGCGAATCGAGTGGGCAGCCGAAGGAATACCAGGAGCGCGAGCAACGCTCCACACCCGGTAAATAATCCCACCAGCCCGGCAAGTTTCCCACCAAACTGCGCCAGCGGGGTATCTGCCTCGCGAACGACCGGCGCACGCGAACTCTCGCTCGGCGGTGTGACTATGATTCTCCTGGGCGCGGCGTTATCCTCTGCGACTGTCATCTCGGGTAGAATCGCAGAGACCATCGTCGCGACGCCAGCCGCACCAACCGAGAATACCATTCTGGCGAGCAATAACCCGGGGTAGACGGTCGGGACGTTGACAAATAGCACAAGCGAGCCGGCAACAATCCAGTAGCAGAGCACTACTACCCCGCGAGTGCCGAGCCTCCCATCAGACATGGCACCCCAGAACGGAGCGGCGAAGATAGCGACGAGTTCATCGACGAAACCGAGGGTGCCGACAATGTCGCCGAGATGCGAGCGCTTGTGGAGGAGATCGGTTAGCACGAAGGAGAGCGTGGCATTCAGGAAGACGAGAAAGGAGATTGAGAACAGGGAAACACCAAGCAAGTACGTGACAGCGTGTAGTGGGCGGATGTGTGGCGAAAAGGGTAGTCGACGGGGGAGGGGCATCGTGCTAGGCTGGGTTGTTGTGAAGTGGTTGTGCGATCATGACGTTGGCGAGTAATCTGAAACCAAAGAAGCTTGTAGTGCCTGGAGAACTAGGTAGAAGTCACGTGAGTCCCAAAAATGGTTACTTAATCATCCCAAACTCCCACTCCCTGCTCGCCCGAGGCCTGCCCCCGGTGAACATCGTGTCACGATTCTCCCCTTTTCATGCGATCGAACACGACCCCCCACACATTTCAGCTCCAACTTGCCCTCTCCCCCAGGAGGTAAAACATTTTCTCAGCTGAAGATCGTCCGGCCGAACCTGAGCGAAACCCCACAGGGTGGGATTAATATGAACATGGGCTTATGTAATTCCACTTTCGAACGCGCTCCGCCAACGAGTGATGTGCTATGATCTCTGTAAGCACTAACTTTATCTAGAATCCCTGTAAAAGCACAACTTTAAATTGAGGAGGGGCAGTGGGTTACGATACGGCGCTGGTACGGGATTCTTGGAGGAAGGTGGTGCTAAGTGGGAAGGGGGGATCTAGTGCTGGGTAGATTTAGGGGTGAAGATGTACAGTACAGTACTCTACCGCAAGTGTTCCCTCCCTGGGTTAGAAGAACAAAGGGTTAACACTCCTTACCGTAATTGCAGAGGAGTCATTGCCGGTAATATACCCGCAGTATATCCAGGGTCCGGCCCAGTGGTGGAGCACAGGGTTACCGTTATCTAGGGGTTCTACCGCTACGCTATACACTAGTAAAGCCGCGTCAGTAATGCTCTCATATCCCCCCTCGCACCCCAAGGACCACACCCCGCAACAACAAGAGAGAAGAAAGAGGAGGTTAGATTACCTGTTTTCGGATACGCCTCTAGGGGTGCTGTAAACTTTTATCAGAACTTGTCTTGCCGAATAATAAGGGAGAGAGGGTTGGCGATGGGTTTCCAAGGGCTGGGGTACTTGGGAGGGTATTAGAACTTTACGGGTGGGGCTGTACTGGTACTGTACAGCACTCATACTACCGGTAGTGAAATGATCGGTCAGGGCAAGGGTTGCCCCCTCGCGGCAGGGCAAAAAAGCATATTTATTTATTTATTTTGTTTTTCGAATGTATGATACAAGTAAGGATACTTTATGCCAGCTTGTGCATGTACTGTATGGCGGCATATCTGGACGACGCAAGACGGGTACCGGTAGGCAACGGCAATGTAAGACAAGTCATAAAGTAAGGTTTTTAACAGCAGATAAACGAGTGTATTGTACAGCACCGGTATGTAATCGGGGCGTCAAAAAAAACGAGCGTGCAGATAAAAATGACCTCACAACAAAAGCAAAACAATCCAACGAGCGACGTGAAGAAGAAAAGGAATGTAAGAAAGAAACGACAGACAAAAGTGCCCAAAAAAATAAAAAACGAAGGATAATCTTTCTCCCTCCCCCCCAGGGAGTGAGTAAAGCAGAGTAAGGTAGAGTGGAGTGGATAATAGCGACCCCCGAATAATGAGAGCTACCTTTCAATCCCATAACGCCACCCCCATACAACCACTTCCATTCTTTCCATACCAGCGCACCCGTGCCAAAGCACCCCCCAAAACTCTACATACAACTACAGTCTAGGAAGTGGCGATCCGCTCTCAGCGTATAGACTCAGGCCGTTAATATCAATACCATCACAACATCCCCCCTTCCGCCGTCACCTCAGCTCCAACCTAACACGTACGTAGAGTCTCAAATATTGCCAGTAGAACCCCACTCTCGCAGTATTCTGTTACCGCGGCATTCGGCGACCAAAGGTCAGCCCCGGCGTAGCCTAGAACTATTCCTACTCCCTCCTAAATTGCCGGAGTAGTCTCCCCAGAACCCCCCCCCTGCTAGCCTGACGCGGGAAATATTTCTTCTCATGTGTAGTGTAATTTCCCAGATCCGTCAACGTCTGGAACCTTCGCGGGGTGCGGCGACCAGGGTAGCGGGTTTCGACAAGGTCAACCAAGTTTACGTGGATGGTAGATAGTGTCTAGATATCCCATTAGCTCCATGTTCTATAAAATGGTGAGGGGTACAAACCTTCCGGCACTGCCTGAGAGTCACCGGAATTCTCTCCTCGGGAACGCCTACGACTCGGCACAACCTCTGCCAGTTCTCGAGGTCGTTGTCGTTGATGCCGAAGATATAGTTGAATTCATTTATAAGCGCCTTGCGGAAGCTGGCCATTGCACGGCGCTCCGAGTGACTCCCCCTTGCCCACCTCTTGTGTTCGCAGAGCCGGGCAAAGTCGTGGAAAATGTTCCAGTTCGCCGGGGGGACTGCGGTAGTTGGGGTAGGCGTAAAGGTAGGATATCGGGCAAAGAATTGGTCGAGGGGACTTTGGGGGTTGGGTGGAGCGGCGGGGAGGGAGGGGGGTGGGGTTGGGAAGGTGGTGGTGAGGGAGTGATCGAAGTTTTGTGCGGCTGGAGTGGGAGTAGTTGGGGTTTGGCTGGTGAAGTCGGTGTGTTGGAAAGGAGGAGAGAGTGGGAGGTAGGTTTGATGATGAGAGATGACCCCGGGAGAGAAGGACATGATGGGTGAAAGAATGAGAAGGGTGGTGAGTTAGGAGAGTAGAAAGGATAGAAACCTGAACGGTAGGTCCACTTCAGTAGTGTTACCAAAGAGTTTGGGCGAAGAAGTGTAACCAAAGTAACGGTAGTAGTAGTAGTCCTGAGTTTGCTAGTGTGGAAGTATTGTATTCCCTTTTGTTTTGTGGGCTATAAGGATTCTTATACTCCCAATCGTACCCTGTGATATATCGAAGGAAAAATGGAAAAATCAAATAAAAAACCAAGAATACTAGAAGATTCAAGGCACGCTCTCTCCCTCCAAGCTTTACCATACTCCCACTACCCCTGCCAACACACCCACCAGACACAACCCACCCACCAGCATATGCTCATCCCAGTCTAAGACACACTGTGCCTGGCCATCAGAGATGCCTCCCGTGGGAGATGTCCAGATCGGATCTGGAGTTATTTTGCATTTGGTTGTGTCGCTTTGCTGCCTATCATATCACCCTTCTCACTTAACTTACCCGTCAAGTATAGCACTAGACTGCACTCCCGGTAACTAGACTGCACTCCCGGTAGGAACTAACGGCCCTTCGCCAATCAATCACGTTGAACCTACCGTTGCAGCCGCAAGACAATGCAAGTGGGTATGTTACTAGTACTATGCTCGAGCACCAAAGTAAGTTACAGGGCGCGAACATTAAGGCGTCTCCCTTACACCCCCAGAGATCAGAACACATCCCGCTGCACATTATTGATTAGTATTGGTATGATATTGGTTATTACCCCTCCCTCGCATTGATGGCACATACTCGAGCAGTTAAGTTACCAACTGTTACTTGAGCCTGTTTGCTGACGGCAACCGACTTGAGTTATCCCTTTGTCGCCACCGTGGCGCGGTTCTATGACTAAATGGGTCACCCCTCCAAGTAGTCTTGCGAGAAAAGCGTGTCGAAGGGAAACCAAGCAGACTCCGCCTACTAATAGTGGACTGACCGTCGTAGGTAAATTACTCAGTTAACCCAATCAGTTATATCGCGCGGTGTCGTGGTCCGTCAAGTCAAGTATTCTCGACTGGCAAAGCAGACAAAAGCTGAACAAGGAATGTTCGGAAGCCACAGTTGGTTATGGGCTTTGGCCTGTTTGGGCTAGGCGCCTCACCCAATCGGTATGATAAAGTATATTCAAGCAAGCCTCTCAGTAGTACATTTACCGTACGATAGAAAGGTAGACTCGAAAGGCTCACTCACTTTGTTGGAGTGATGCCATGTGACGTGACTGGTGACAAGATATTTTACTACACTAGTTGCACGGTGCGTGTCCCTCAGAATCAAGGACCGATGACCATTTAGCAATCTACCTATCCTCCTCGTACAGTACACGCCCAGCCACCACGCAGGTACCGTACTCGAGTACTGTACAGTACATTCCCGGTTATTGTTACCCTTTCCCCAGATCGCGAACACTACGGTACTTGAGAGTAATAACCTAAAAATACAGATTACGGTGCCACAGTCGATTAAAAAAAACCGAAACCAGCTCCTTTGTTTTTTCTCCCTTCTTTTCCTTCCTCCTCCCTCCCCTCCTTCTTTCTACTTTTTATTTTCCCTGGATCCCGAGCATCGTCAGTACTTGAAACTAATCCCAGTCTGCGGCTGTGGCTGCGGGAGCTATCTCCTCGAGCAGTGTATGATAGTTACAATAAGTTATTAGACTAGACTAGCTCGTCGGGTTCTCCCTAGCGAGGGAGGCGTTACCATGAGATTTGGCACGGAAAACAGCTCAGATCCCACTGACTCTCCTCTCCTCTCTCCAGGGAAAAGCAAAAAAAGCGAAATGTTTAGAGGCACCATTTTTTAGCCTCGGAAAACCCGAAATGAATATGCCGTGGTGCCGTGGCTTCGTTTCTCTCTCATGTAAAGTCGCAATAATAGCTCTGCTTTATACCGGCATGTGGACCTCGGTTCAGAGTATTGTCAGAGTTGGTGGAGAAACAAAAAGGGGTCTTTTTCTATCATACTCGTCTTTGTGGATTGCGGGCAGTACGTAGCGAACTCGATCGAGCGCTGTTGCGGGATCCATTTTTACTTGTGCTCGTGATAGGTGCATTCAGAAGTATACTCGGTGCGAAACCCCTCAAGTAACGCCGAGCCACTGCACGACACTCGTTTACTTTAACCTCCAGCAAGAAGCGTTCCCACTCTTAAAGCAGAAACCAGGCGGCGCCCGGCTGTCTGCCTCTCTCCCGAGACGACCTGTCGCCCCGGGAACAGTCCGGGGCACCCAAAGAGCCATCCGTGCCAAAAGTTAAGCGCGTCGCGAACTGACACGGAGCGTTAACTTACCCCAAGTGTGGCATGGCAACCGCCAAGTCCCAGGGCTAACCACCACCACCCCGCAGAATCTGCCATCAGAGGTGCTCAACAAATACCAAAAGCCCGCCGGAGCCATAAGGTACGGGCCCCGGCGGGAAGTTAGA